AGAGCCATCACCTCCAGCCCTGGCACAGCCCCCCCTGGCTCCCAGCACAGCCCCCCTGGCTCCCAGCACAGCCCCCCTGGCTCCCATCACAGCCCCCCTGGCTCCCAGCACAGCCTTTGCTCCCCAGTGCCGTTATTGTGTTAATGTGGGGCTGTTCAGCATTGCAGAAAAGAAAAGGGGAAAATAATCTCTCTGGATGGCCGATGCGCTGCCGTGAAATAATGTTTGTGTCGTGTATCCTGTCCTACAGGTCTATGCAATATTAGTTAGTCACCCTCCTGCTCCCAACGATCACCTAACACCAACACCTGTGTCATACACAGCTGGCTTCTACAGGATCCCTGTCATTGGTCTGACAACACGCATGTCTATATATTCTGATAAGGTAACTGATGCATGCTTTGCTCTGGTACCTCATACGTGTGCTGTAAACCAAGAGTGCCCATCAGGAGGGTTAATGATGTCTGCACTCTGTGTCTGTCTGTCCGTCCTCTGCAGCCCAGCCTGCAGCTCCCTCTCTCTCTCTCTCCTGAATTCCAGGGTACATAATTTTTTTGCAGCTGCCAGTGCTGACCTACATAGTGCCGGATGATTTCTGCAGCGCTGCTCTGCCAGGCAGGGCAAAGGCACGAGCTGGCTCCTGCTCTCTGCTGACAGCCAGGGGGTCCTGGGGGCCTGGGGGGGACAGAAGGTCCTGCTAGAGCTGTACATTGGGCAGGAGCTCTCTGGGGCTCGGAGGGTGTTTGGTTGCATCCTCTCCTCTGGGTTTGTGGGGTGTTGGTAGGGGAGAGGTCAGAATACCCTGAGGCTTCACATGACGTTCAGTCTGGTCAGAACTCAAGCCAGGGGTTCAGATTCCGGTGTCTCAGCTGTCCCTGTGGGAACACACAGACTTCCAGGCTGGATGAGGTTCTGCCACGGGCAGGCAGTGCCTGGCCCTCAGCTCACAGCCCGTTTGGCAAACACCTAAAGCTTTAGTAACAGCAAAAGGAGGAGCTGAGCAGAGCCAGGCCTTCCAAATGCCATTGCAGGATTTCATCCAGGCACACGAGCTCTGTGGGTGAGATGGAGCCTGCTTCGAAGCACAAATCGGCCTTTGCTTGGAAAATGTGAATATTCAAAAATGTAAATGTTCAGTGCAAAAATAGTCACTCCACCTACATGCTAAATGAAGTCAAATTTCAGGAGGAGGAGCAGAGGCTCCCAAAGAGGCAGCAGAGCAATGCTTGGCTGGAGGAGCTGCAGGGTTTGGCTTCTCCCAGCAGGGAAGCCGAGGCAGGGAGCTCAGCAAAGCCAGACCAGGGTGATGGTGGCTGCCAGGGCTGGGGACCTGCACACCCTGGCAGGGTCCCACCAGGCACGGCTGTAGATGGAAAGGGATGGCAGCAGAGCTGGCAGCAAGTGTGCAGGGGGGATTTGCTCTTTGCTGCTCTGGGGAGGAGATAGATCTGACAGGAATGTCCCTGAGAGGGTCCTTGTCACAGAGCCCACGATGGCAGGGAGAGGGGACCCTGCTCCTCATCTCTGCTCCATCTCTGCAGGGCTGTGCCCAGCAAAGCTGCTGCTGCTGCCCACAGCCCTTCTGTGCCATCCAGCCTCGGGCTGGCCTGCAGTGCTCACCCCGAGGGGCTGGCTCTGTCCTCTGCTGCTGCCAGTCTCGTCCTTTTTAAAACATCTTTTCTGCAAAGCAGCGACACAAATCCCACCTGGCTCACCCAAGGCTGGAGGAGAGACCCGTGGCTGCAGTGGTGGCCCAGTGTGCTGGCAGGGAGATGCCCTCCCTGGAATATTTGGGGTGTTGAGCAGGTTCAGGGCTGTGGGGTACACTTGTCTGGCAGAAACTGGGCAGGGAGCCCAGGCTGCCCACCCCAACACCCCTGAGAGCACCCCTGCCAGGCTGGCACCATGCTCAGCCCCCTGCCCACCGGGGCTCACAGCTCTCAGAGGAACAGGGACTGGCAGCAGGACATGGGGCAAAGGCAGGGACTGGGGAGAGGAGCAGAGGATGTCTGGGCAGTGGAGAGGACAGCGAAGGTGGGAGCAGGGTGGGGGACAGAGGGGTGGAGCTGTGGGATGGGGCAGTGGAAGGTTCTGAACACTCCATGCAGGACAGGCTGGCTCCTGACACAGGGACACTTAGCTGTTCCCTTTTTGGTTTCCAGCTTGCTTTTTTTTGCAATTTTGCTTTTGCAAAGCTTGCTTTTTTAATTCAGGAAATTATATCTTTCAGTTTAGTTTCTATGGAAACAAGCTTGTAGGATCACTTTGTATGTATGCCCCTAATTGGTTTAGGAGGCATCAGACAATTTGAGTTGGATTTCACCGGGGGCTGAAGTTGGGTTAATTATGGTCCTCTCAAGGCTGCCAGGGGAGGAAAGGTGTGGACCTCAGCAGGGACAGCTTTGCTCAGTACCTTTTGATGCTCTCAGAGCATCTTCAGTCAAGCACAGTGGTCCATGAGCTGCAGCCAGTCTTTCGGCAGAGATACCTGAAGGAAGTGAGTTTTATGCTCACAGTATCCAAGAATTTGTTCCAGAAATAATATTGCAGTCATCAGGCAGAGCACTCTGGCTTGGCCTCCTTGTGCATCTTGTGAAATCATGAGCTGTTCCTTCACTGAGAGCCTCACATCACCCAGCACAGTCCTGCCTGCCCAGGGAGGGCTCTCTGGAATCCCAATCCCCCTGAGTGAGGTCAGCAGGGAACTGGAGGAGAGAGGGAGCCCCAAGGTAAAGGCAGCAGAGCAGTTCCCATCACTGTGGTGTCCATTGCTATGCAGAGCCCTCCAGGGAGATCTCCTGGACTGAGCATTGCAAAAATCCCCCTCTGACTTCCCATGCTGGGCCCCTCAGTGCTGCTGTCCCCCGAGGGTCATTGGGGTGTTTATGTCTCCTGTGCATCTGCTGGCAAAAACGAGATGACACTGACATCTTGGCAGCATGAAAAGTGTGAGATGACAGAGTGTGAGAGCAGAGCCTGGGGGAATGCAGAGCTCGGGAGGCAGGAGGCTCTGTGCTGCTCAGCACCAGATCTCCCCACATGAGGGGCTGGAGGGACACCCTGGCTGAGCCCCCCACCACCCCACAGCAGATTATCACAGCAGAGGATCAGGAGATAAATTCATAAATCAATAGATCTGCTCTGCTGCTGGAAGAGTGGGAAAATGGAGTTTAGACATCCTGGAATTGAAGAGCTTTTTCAGTTCCAGCACCTTGCCCTGGTAGTTGAAGTGAGTCTGTCTCTCCAGCCAGGAGATGGCTTTTCCCTCTGGTTCCTGCTAGCAGTGGAACCATTCCAGGCTCTCACAAGGCTTGTTCACCAAAAAGGGGTTTGTGCTCTGCTCTCAGTGGCAGTGGGTGCTCAGCAGGAGCCCTGTCAGGCAGGGAGGGAAGGGGCAGCTGGGGACACAAGTGGCTCTTGTTGGCCAAGGTCAGGGTCAGTTCTCCTCCACCGGCCCCACAGGTCAGGAGAGGCTGCTTGGTGCAGCACAGGGGTGTTTGCCCTGGACAGCAAGGGCAGCCTGGAATGTGCAAGAGCAGACCAGGGTAGAGGAGAGATGCTCTGATGGAGCCCCCCATCCCAGCAGATCCCCAGGGGCTCTCAGATTCCAGCTGGGAGCAGGACAGAGCAGCCCCCAGTGGCCCTGCCCCATCCCTCCCTCCCTGCACTGCAGGGAAAGGCAGAGAGGACACTTTAATCTGAGCTTCCCCTCCTTCTGTCCCCAGAATCCCTCCCTGCTCTCGTCTGAGCTACCTCAGTTATCTCAGCTCCCTCCCACAGCCACAGCTGTGGTGTGGGGCAGTGGGCAGGCTCCTTTCCTGGCCAGCACTTCTTTCCCATGCCCAGCTAGTGAATTTTACCAAATCTTCAGGAGCTTTGCAGATTGGGATTTCTGTCAATCTCTTTGAAGTTTCCCAGGCAGCTCAGCCGGGGAGTGCATTGCTAGAAGGGGAACTGACCCCACTGCCACGGGTGATGAAGCAAAAGCACATTGCTGCCTTCAGCCTGTAGGAAAAATCACTCCCCAGCCATGGGCTCTGAGCTGGGTGAGCCCCAGGGCAGACAGAAGTGAAGGAGGTGACAAACCCTTCACTCACAAGGCTCTGATGTGACCCACAGGCACTGCCATGGCCCCAGCCGTGCCCTCTCCCCTGTGGATAAAATCTCCATGCAAAGGCACCCCCAGTGCCCTCCCCAGGCTGTGCCCAGTTCCCTGCAGGGATGGCTGCTCTCCCTTTCTCACTCACTCTCCCTCCCTCCTGCCTTCTGCAGGTACAGGCTGACAGCTGTGAGTGCACTCTGTGCTTTCACACACACACACACAGGATCTACCCAAAGAGCTCCTCTTTGTATCAAACCTTGCATCAAACATCTGCAGTTCTCAGGTCCTGACCCCACACTGAATCATCACACACTGGTTTGGGTTGGAAGGAGTTTTAAATCCCATCCAGTTAAACCAAGTTGCCCCCCAAAAACCTGGCAGTAATTTTTCCCTCTTTAAGAAAGAGAAAAAAAGAAGAAAGCCATGATTGGTTTAAACACCATTTTTGCAAGCTGGTTGGGAAGATAGAAAATAACTGGATGCAATATATGGAAATTGCAAAGAGTTTTTTCATTTCAAAAAGGGATTGAAAGAATTTTTATAGAATTTTGATGGTTTTAACTTGTGTTTCTCTGATTTATTTTTTTAATATTGGCTCTTCTGTTATTTTTTCAGCTCTTTTCTCTCTTCTGATTTTTTTTCCCATTTCCCATTTCCAGTTTCACTTTCCCTGGATTTCCTTAAAGCAATTGAAAATGCTCAGGGGTTAAAAATTCAGAATGTTTGGACCCAGATGGTGTGCCCCTGGCAGTGTGCAGCAGCACCTGGGAATTCCTGGCCATCTCTGCAGGCTCCAGAGAGATCTCGAGCACTGTGCTGCTTTAACTCCACATTAATCCCTATGGGCTTTTTCCCAACCCCACGGGCCAGTGCTGCTTTAGTGGGGTGAGCTGCTCTCCTGTAGCTGTGATGTTTGTGTCAGTCATACTCAGCCTTGCTGGGGCTCTCCTGGTTTGTTTTCTCCTCTGATTGAACATCCACCCCTCTCCTCAGAGTCTCACACTCGGGAAATGTTCCCAGTGCTGTGGTGGCTTTGCTGTTCCCCATTCCCGTGGCTTGGGCTGGGGCAGGAGCAGGGAGTTTAAGTTTACATCCTTTTCTGCACATTTCCTGGTCTGGTTTGACGTTAGCACTGTGTTGAGTGTGAGGAAGAGGGTTTATTTGCTGTGTCTGTCCCTCCTGTGTGTGTCCATGGGGGACAGGATGCCTTTTCCTTCCCAGTGTGTATCACTTTGGCCTGTTCAGGACATTTCTGACCCATTCTGGGCCTGGTCTCTGGATGAGCAGCTCTGGACAAGCCCTTTTTGGTGCAGACAACCATCTCAGCCTTAGAGGAAGGAATATTATGGTGCTTTATTTTTGTCCTCTCCAGTTCTGGCTCCTGCCTGCCTCCAGCACGTAGCTGGGCTGTCAAGGAGGGTCCATGCTGAGCATGAGCACTTCCACTTCCTAATATTTGACTCTAGGGCTTTTTGGACAAGCTGCATTTGTTTGAAAGCTCTCTGCCAGCTCCAGCTTTTGGTCTGATTGCTCCCCTAAGAGCACTGTACTTAATTAGGCTGGAATTGCTATTGCACAATCAGCCAACCATAACGATGCCTTTAACCGAATCAGAGAGGTTTAAATCAGGCTGGGGCACGGCTCCAGAGCTGCCTCCTCTGCCTGCTGCTGCTGCAGAACAGGCTGACCCAGAAACAGCCAGGGACTGTGTTATAAAACTGCCTTTCTGAACTTCTCCCATGGCAAATGACGAACACACAGCTGCCTGTACCTGCCTCTTGCTTTCTGGAAGGGAATCCTTGTGCTTTTTGATGCCCATAGAAAAATTAATTGTTTAATTAATAATGGTAATTATTCTAAAGGTCAGGAGGCAAGGCTATACTTGCACTGAACACTGCTGGTCATTCATGGCTCGACAGGCCTTTCTTCTCTGTGCATTTATGGACCAGGAAGCAGAAGCCCCTCTTTGCTCTGCTTTAACCTCAGAGAGGTACAATGTCATACCCAGGCTTTGCTTCCCAGCCAGAAGGAAGGCTGCAGGTCCCAGAGGTTAGCTCGAGGTGTGCACCCCAAAATGGCTTTGTGATCCCAGCCCTGTCCTGCAAATGTGGCTGACACCCCCACAGTCTGTGTTGAGCTCTTGTTCTCCCTTGCAGAGCATCCACCTGTCCTTTTTGCGCACGGTCCCACCTTACTCTCACCAGGCCAACGTCTGGTTTGAGATGATGAGAGTCTTCAACTGGAACCACGTCATTCTGATAGTCAGCGACGACCACGAGGGTCGTGCTGCACAAAAGAAGCTGGAGACCCTCCTGGAGGAGAAAGAGTCCAAGGTCAGTTCCTGAACATTGTCTTGTAGCTTTGTTTAAGCAACAACAACAAAACTAGAAGTCTTGGGCTGTTGTATGTATGTAGATTTCTGTATGTAAAACACCTTTTCTTTCCATTGTAACATGGCTAACATGCTTAAAGCATCAACAGTGTCTGACTAGTACCTGACAGAACTTTGTACTTTATTCATTTCACTTGCTTTGCCATGGTCAAAATCTCCTACATGTAAATCGACTACAAAATGAAGGGAAGGATAACCTGGAGCTCTGCAAATGCCTTGCCCAAGTTTCCCACCCAAGGAGAGGACCAGTCGCTCAGCTTAGGGAAGCAGCTGCCCCACTGCAGCCACCCCGGGGCCAGGCAGACCCAGCAGTGCCAAAGCCACCCCGAAAAGCATCTTCTGAATTGGCTACTGGGGCTCAGTGAGTGCTTAGGAGGGGCAGCCAGGCCTGGAGTGACCCTCTCGGTAGGGCCCCTTCCCATCTCCATCGAAGCACATGCCAAACGCTGCTTGCCCGGCACCCCATGCTGTCACAGGGTGGGACAGGGACCTTGCACCGGCTCTCAGGGCCAGCAGGAGCAGGGAGGGAGGCAGGGCAGGGCCCCGAGGCACAGGAGGACAAAGCACAGACCTGCAGCATGGAGGGAAAGTGAACAAGTGTTCAAGACAAGCAGAGAAGGAGAGCACAGGAAGCTGTTTGGCTGCAATCTGCAAGGCAAGGAACCACCTCCTGTCCTGTGGGGTGGAGTCCCAGCACGTCCTCTCTCCTGGGCAGGGTGAGGTCCCCTTCCACTGGGCAGAGCCTGAGTTCATCCAAGTCTCCAGCAGCATCAGCACAGGCACCCATTTGGGGATGTTCCCTCCTGGATCACAGCCAGGGACCCCAACCTGCAGCTGCTGGACCTTTGTCAGTCTCAGGAGGACTCTGAGACTGATCTCCTCTCTTGAGGAGATGTGGCCATAGATTCTTCTTGTGGTTGGAGCTGGTGCCTGAGCTGAGAGATGGGACCCTGTGACTGCTCTTTGTCACCCTCCTGGAGGAAAAACTGCTGCAGGGATGCAGGCTGGCACAAGCCACACTGACCTGCAGACTCCTGATTTTGGCAGTGATTTTTAAGAAGTTCCATCCTTGCTGCATCTCAGGCTGTCACAAGGCACTGATGTTCCACAGAGGGACCCTCCTGCCTCCAAAGGCAGCTCCCCACTGGGTGACAGCAGGATGTTTTCCCCCAAAGCCTCTTCCTGCACAAAGCCCTTCATCCAGGGAGAGCCACTGTCAGTCCCTCATCCCTCCTCTTGAACTGCTCTTTCTGTTTTCCTGTAGCTCCTGTGCATCCCATTTTGCTGATTCCTCTCGTGCCTCCTCTCCTGTTTGCCCCATGTGGTGCTCCCAGGCACAGGGTGCATTTCTTCTTCAGCCTGTCCACCCTGCAGGAAAGCCTTTGAGATCTGGAGCTTGAAATCTGGGGAGGGAGGGTCTGTCCTCAGACCTTCCCTGTATTTGCACTGCATGTCTTGGTGTTCTCTGGCAGCCCCCGGGCTGCTGCAGACGCTCGGGCCACTCTCCAGCCTGGGGCACCTGCTCTGCCTTGCCTTCTCCCTAGGGTGTGCCACTGCTTCTTGTTTCTGTTTCCTTTGAGGAAAGGTCAGGCAGACTGGTCTGACCGGTCCTGCAGGTGGCAGATACCCCACTGGGGCTTTCCTGTCCTCCTCCACCTCTTCCTCCAGTCTCTTTTCTGATCACTGATGTGCTGACTCTTTCCATGCCACCAAGGTGTGCCATGGGCTCCTCCCCAGCCTCTCCAAGGACAGCCTGTGCCCTGGGGAGGGAGCAGGCAGGATTCCTGATCTCAACCTCTTCAAGGCTCAGATCGCAGCCCCTGAGGACCTGGAGGACCTGCTCAGGCTCAGAGACTCACCCGCCCACCTGAGCTCTTGTTTTGGGGCATGGCTTTGCCCCAGGGTCTGTGCCAGCCCCGTGTGCCATGCAGGCACCACTGCAGCTGCAGCAGCACCCTGAGCTCAGCACTCAGGCCATGATGGCCAGCCCAGAGTGCCCCATGTGCTGGTCAGTCCAGAGTGCCCCATGTGCTGGTCAGTCCCAGAGTGCCCCATGTGCTGGCCAGCCCAGAGTGCCCCATGTGCTGGTCAGTCCCAGAGTGCCCCATGTGCTGGCCATGTGCCTGGCTCTCAGCCTGGAGCTGCTGCTCCACCCAGCCCTGCTCTGCTCCTTCATGGGGTTCCTGGGGCTCGAAGGGGGTGCTGGACACGCTGAAAGCAGAGCTGGCAGGTCCTGCTGTGCTCCCTGCCTTTCTCTGTGACAGTGCTGCTCATTGTGACCATTTTTTGAGTGAGTGCAGGAGCACACGGTGGAAAGGGAAATTCTGATTTGTTGGTCCCTGTGTGAAATGTGAGGATCAGAGAAGGGCTGCAGGACCACATGGAAAAATGGGAAAAAGAGGATTATTAGTGTAGTTCTGGAAACAGGACTAGTGACAGGGAGAGGTGATCGAGGCCAGCCTTGTTGCACCCAGGACCAGCCTGGGCCAAGGTGCCAGCACATCCCAGGAACCCCTGGCTGGAGGCTGCAGCATGGATGACGGAGTTCTTGGCTACACTGACAGTGCCTGGGGAGAAGTGACCAGTGTTGCCTGACTGGAGAACATTCCTGCTGTATCTCTGGTCTCTTTGTAGCAGTCATTAACTCCAGGCTCACTGCAGGCCCAGCAGAAGCCACTAAGAAGCCACTGCAGAAATCCTTGCTGTGGGAGTCATCAGAAATGAAGGCAGACCTGGGCTCCAAGCAGATTTTGCCTCTTCAGATACTTTCCCTTGCCAGGACTCAATTTCTTTAAGTAATGAAAAACATTTTGGGCTGCATCCAAGGGGAAGAAAGAAAAGATCTCACGACTGCATGGAAAGGAGACCTGGCAAGATGTCCTGCCAAAGACTGGCCTGAATGCTCAGGAAGAGGCAAGTTAATTGGTTTGGAAAGCAAGATGAAGAGAAATCTGTCTGTCTGAGGAACAACCTGGGAACATGGACCCCTGTGCCCTGGGGGTGCAAAGGGTTGGGTTCCTGGCAGGGATCCATTGCCATCAGGCTCTGGAAAATGGAGATGAGGGTAGAGCTGTGTCCCACACCCCATGTACACAGATCAGGGACGCTCAGCTGGGGCAGGGTCAAGGAGAAGATGGCAGACTGTGTCCCACCAAAACCTGCCAAGCCATCTCCTGAAGGCACTGTCAGGTTGCTGTTAGTGGTTGCAGGGGCTGCTCCAGGAAGGTTCTGGGGCTCTGAGCAGAGGCTGGGGACCCTCAGCATGCTGCCTGCTCCACAGGAAAGCTCCAGCACTGGGTGCCCTGCCCCGGGCTCCTCTGGGGCCAAGCAGCACCAGCGGGGCAGGAGCAGGATTTCTGCCCCAGTCCCATCTCTCGGGGGTCAGCACACACCCCCAGCCCCACGGGCATGCTCCAGGCAGAACAGCGAGCAGGGAGCCCCGCTAGCCATGCTTAGGGCCAGTTATGGGCACCCTGCTGCCAGGGCCACCCGTGTGCCACAGAGCCATCAGTGCCCTGGCCCTCCCCAGGGACCAGGTAACAGCTGCAATGTCATCCCATGTTCACCATTGCTCCATATCGCCACGCTTTGAGCCAGCACGGGACGTAGAGAACTTTATCTTTCTCTTTTGGATGTCAACAGAGCTGAAAAAGCTGCTCCCTCCTTTCAGGGGGTGAGAGGTTCAGCTGAGACACCTCACTTTGTGTGGACAGGATTGTAATTCTGATAGTGACGCTAGTAATGCTAATACTCTTAACTGTAACAGTTTGTCTTTATCCAGCACTTTCCGTACACAACATTTTGTCCTTTACTTCCACAGTAATTCCATGGAAACCCAACCACTTAGGCCCTTAGATTGTTTCTGAGCTTAAGACAAAAATTCCTTGCTGAAGAATTCCCCAGTCCCTCAAGGGAAAATGCAACAGCATCACACCAGCTGTGCCACTCAGGCTTTGCTCTCAGATTGCTCCGTGACTCCCGTGAGAGCTGAGGCACAATCTCTCCTGATAGTGGTTTTTGCGAGCTCCAGCGTTATAGAGACCCTTTAGCAAACAGTGGAGGAGGAGGTGGATGTTGGATTGCTTTACTACACGTCATTTTCAACTGTTTATAATATTCTTCTGTGTCTACATATTTTCTCTGTGCACATTATTCATCAGAGTAAAAAAAGGAACTATGAAAACCTCGACCAACTTTCCTATGACAACAAGCGAGGACCCAAGGTATATATGCATGGAAATGCACGCCGCCCACCAACCTAACTAGCAAATGAAAAATAGCCACAGCCAACAGAAAAATAAAAAAGAGAAAAAAAAAAAAAAAAAAAAAAAAAAAAAAAAAAAAAAGAGAAAGAGAAAAAAAGAAAAGAAAAGAAAAGAAAGAAAAAAAAATATCCATGACTATGTCTCTTGGTAGCACGTTTTTATGTTGAGATAGTTTGGTTTGGACTTGAGAATGGAAACTTAGCCAGCTGACCCTGGAAGGATTTCTTTTTGAAACATGCATGTGAACCAGTAATTAACTTGCAAGTTCTTTTTTTTTTTTTTTGAAAAGTTGAACCAACCCCCTTTCCTCCCCAAAGGAAACGGTTCCTTGGTGTAAGTTGTTCACTTTGATTCCCAAAGGTTAACCCTGTGCAATATGTTTTTTTCATTTCCCATGTTTTTGAAAAACAACACTCGTTTGAGTTTTCAATTGCATTTCAAAGCCTTTTTCTCTTTCCTGTACAATGCACGCCTCTTTTTGGGTCTTGATTGACTTCAGTTTGCATGCACAGTGCAAAAAAAAAAAAAATTAAAAAAATTAAACAACCAAAAAGCCAAAACATTAAAAGAGAAAGGAAGGAAGGAAAGAAAGAAAAGAAAGAAAGGAAAGAAAAAGAAAAAAAAAAAATAACTATAACCAACCTTATTTAGCAGACTTTTGTGCAGTTTAATGAATTCTCTTGACCCTTTTCTAGATAGCATGGCTCTCACCACCAGTCCTGGGGCTCACTCACTAACCAGCTTTGCTCACACTAATCACAGGCTGAGAAAGTGCTTCAGTTTGACCCTGGAACCAAAAATGTGACATCGCTGCTGCTGGAGGCGAAGGAGCTGGAAGCCAGGGTGATCATCCTCTCTGCCAGGTGAGGCCCCTTCCCCTCCCCGCTCCCATCTCCTCTCTTGCAACGCTGCCAGCACTGGAGGCACCGTGCATGTGGGGTCTGAGCTTCCCGAGAGAACCTGCCCCAGTCTGCGGGGCTGGG